AAGAGAAAATATCTTCAGTTAAAAACATTTTTTTAACTAGAAGGTATAAGCATTCTTAAGCAAATAATTCAAAGCGTCAATGACCCACAACCAGTTATAATTTCATTATAAAGGAAAGATATTGTATTTTAATCTATACTTGATGATCAGAATGAAAACCAAACCAGGGTACTGTGTTTCACCGAATCTCCTCCCAGTTACTGAATTCTGCAAAGTCTTGGAGAATGCAGTGTAAACTTGGAACTTCCATGTCATTCCAGACGAGTGCTTTCTTCTTTGAAAAATTCAAACTCCTGCATAAGCTTTTCCAGCTTCTTCATATTCTCCTCATGGATTTTAGGATCAACTTTTTCATGATAGCCAGAGGCATTCATTATCTTGTTCAACTTCTCCTGTTGCCTGTCAAAATACCAAAATTTTGGAGTGAAAAAAAAAAAGGGGTGGAAAAAGCATCCCTAGTAAATTCATGTTATTGAAAGCTTAAGGTTTAATTGCATTTTCATCACGAAAAAAGAAAAAAAAAAAGGGCATTATGTTTCATGAGAGAATGCAAACAATGGCTGATGCAACCAGAATGTACAGAAATTAGATTGTTGCAATTGAGTAATTTACCCTAATATTTACCCAAAAAAGATGCATACCATAACTTTTTGCTCCTTTTTTTTTTTTTTTTGGTTGAAATGAGCACAAGAATGAATGCATACACCGTTGTGAATATGTTAAAAGATGACACACTTACTTAAGATTCTCATCCATCTTTGTCTTAAGTTTTTCCCGCTCAGCTTCTGTGTTTAGACTTCCTTGAACCTTGAGATAAACCATAAGATTTTCATTCACATTCTCAAATGAACACCCAACTGGTGCAGCATCTCTTCCACTCAGAAGCACCTGTAAAATTTTTTAGTGAAAGGCATAAAGCAAATGATAGCAATGTGAAACTAATAAATAAAACAGGCAAATGATAGCAATGTGCAACTAATAAATAAAACAGGCAAAAGTTACAGCAGAGGATTGGGAATTGATGAAAATAGATTCATTCTACAATGCATGCCTTAGGTCCCCTTGAGTCAGTCAAGTCACTTCACTTGTTGATACCTTGATTAGTATAAAACTCTGGCATTGTGCATGTAATTTATAAACAACTCGGAGGTTTGAAATGGTCCATGGAAAGAAATGGGTACACTCTAAGCAGGTGATTTGAGGAGGGAGTTGACACTAGAAATGGGAGAGGATATGCTGAGTGGTTAAACTTTGCATGGATTTACAAAATGGAAACAAGAAAGATAATTGACTAATAAGCAAGGAATCTAATAAGTACCCTCTATCCCCCAAGAAGCTGTATTCTAGATTAGAAAACAATTCCAAAATAATAAATGGACTTTGTGGCGTGCATACTGTAACCTAGTCAAGTAGCTCACAAGCTACTCAAGAGCTTGAGCTTAATCTTGAGCTCAATAATGCATTATTAATTTATAAAAATATATAAATTGTACTAGTGAGTAGCTAGATTAGAATAAAAAAATAAAAATTTTATTATACTAGAGCTCCAGAGCCACTCCAGCTCCACTCCTCAGAGCTCAACAAAGCTCAAGCTACACTTGGGCTCAAGATGAATTGACTTAAGATTGAGCTCTGAGGTATTCAGCTCAGCTTGACTT